AATTTTTCTTCAAGTTTGCAGGCCTTGTTTAAAAAAAGGGAGAGAGAAAAAATATCTCCATTTCGCAGCTCTGAAAAATGTTCCATCATTTCTGCCTTCTTGTTCCTTTCTTGAACGCTGTGAAGATAGAAAGGTGGATACAGGTGCTATCATACCCAGTCATGGTTTTAAGCAAGGTGCGCGTATACCGTATGATTCAACGACTCGGAAGTGCATTCTTTAAATTTCAATGTCATGATTCCAATCAGAAATTTTTAGAATGAACGTCTATTTAATGGGAATTCACAAATAATCGGAGTTTTTCACATTTTTCTGGATGAGAAGCCTACATGTTCATACTTCACATACATTGAGTAAACTATTGTGTTCTAGATATGAGTAGAAGACCTGTATTGTATAAATTAATAATGGCACGAACCTGCCATGTTGTTGAGGATTCGATCCTTTTCATTAGGGTCAAAGACACGGCTTTTCCGGTTCGTTGTCCTGGGGTTGGCACCGCTGTTCGCATCATATGATTCGCCCCCCTTCTCGTCCTCAGACTTGTAGTCGAAAGTTGACGTGTCCAGCGCGTTTCCATTATGAGTGTGTCCGCTGCTGCTGATGCTTTCAGACGCCGTCGCGAGTTGCTTCCATTCCTTGAGACGTGGCACGTTCACGGATGTCACTTGTTTGCTCCGCGAAAAGGTTTGATCCTTTTCATCTGAGATGATAATTAACGATCAAAAATTTCCCCTCTATTATAATAAATATGATCGTAATGTATAGTTGATGATAACATAAATCTAAACTACGCGTCAATTAGAACAGACGAAAGACACGGCTTTTCCGGTTCGTTGTCCTGGGGTACTTGGCACCGCTGATGCTGCTGCATGTTTGCGTCACATTGGTACAATAACTATAAATTAGTACAATAATTTATATACGAAGAGTAGTACATCAATTCACAGTATTTGAGGGGAATTGGGTCATTTTCATTCTGAAAATTCGATGAATCATCAGTATCCGACTTTTTGTTTGCCTTCACCTGACCATAGAAGAGTCTATTCGGCAATAGAAAGATTATTTGCAGGAATGCAAATGACGCTTCCTCATGCAAAAGCACTGACAAACAAATACTCATTAAATCATTAATATGCGCACTTGCATGCTAACACAGACAAATGTCGCTGTCATTCAAGGATCCTCCTAAAACACAGCGATCAAGACGGTTTTTTTTTTACTTACACTGTATACATCACCATTGAATTTGGAACCTATATATGTACAGTATATGTATGAAGGCAGATATGATGGAGCTGTTGGAATATCAATATTTTCATTAGTAAAACAAATACAGT